GTTAAAGTATTAAAAATTAACTATTACCACCGTCCATTTTAATTTTATTGAATAATTGACCAAGTTTAAAATGATTTTACTTAAGTAAAAGTTAGGTAATATAATCATAATAAAACTCATAAAACTTCGAATCAGAAAATATTTAAAATACATTTAAAATACTTTTAAGATTTCAAATAAGTAATAAATAAACAGTGAAACATATACTAGTACACCAGTACACGGCATTTGGCATACAAGTAAATTACATATTATTAAATTTAAATTAAGTTATTTTAAATATACTGTTTAAAAGATTGTTTTTAACTGTTTAAAACTCAAATATTTTATTTTGCTTAAAACTTCGTGTTTAACTGTTTGAAACAGTTTGATACAGTTTAAAACAAAAAATACACTATTTTTTTTTTCATAAATGAAAAATTATACCAACTCTGTTCAGAAGTTTTTGTCCTGCGTAAGGCCATAGCTGAAAACAATTCCGTCCAAACGTAATGTTAACATCTCTAATCTCTACCTCTCTCTTTAATTATGCTCTCGTCGAGTGGATCAACGTGATACACACTGTTACACAAAAGCACAACAGTTCGCCTGCCGCCACAGACTTACTCTGTTTCAACATTAATTTTTAGAGAGCTTGTTTAGTGATTCTAGTCCATTGACACTTATCGTTTCTATATTCAGATACTAAATCATCTGTATTTTATCACTTGATAAATAATTGGATGGAAAATTGGAAACACGATTTAAGATATACAGGTTACTAAATGAAACTTATTTTTTGGTGCGCAAAAAGTTAAAGATCTTGTCATAGCAAGAATTACAATTAGTGATTTATCTTGGTACCGTGGCGAAAGCATATATTTTTTTTCGACCTGGCAAACGTAAAGAAGAGGGACTCTGTTTAATTTTGAAAAACGAGCGTCTCCATCAATTTTTAAACGTTACTGCGCCGAGGGCAGTGGCGCACACAGGATTTTTTTCGGGGGGGGGGTTATTCTATTAATAATTTACTATAGAGATTAATATTGTATAGCCCAAGCAAACATATAGCAAAATGTTGTATAAAAAAAGTATATCTAACATTATATTATTATAGTATAAATATCAATTATAATTTTTGTAATTTATTACAAATAGTTTATAAAGGTCAATATAATTAAAAACAGTTAACAAAAAAAAATTAAAAAAAAATAGTTTTTATCTAACAATATTATAAATTTAAAGCATAATATATTAAAATTACATTTTAGTACATAACAAGTATTTAAATACTTTTACCTTTTGCTCAAGTACTTAACAAGACTACTGAAGCAAATATGCGTTAAAATAATTGAGATAATAATTAATAAGCTTTAGCTTTGGTAAAATAAATTATACCTATGAATATTATTTATTATTGTCTTTTATCTGTATGGTAGTGGTAGGTAAATTTATTTTGGTGACATCTATAACGCTATATTATCATTAATAATATTATATAATAATAGTAAATTGGATATTATAAAATATATACAATTTTATATATTATTATTTATTAGGTATAGGTAGGTACCTAAATACATTATAATATAAAAAATAAATATTAAAGCCTTACTGAATGCTTATTTATATTGATAATAGAACCAGATCCAGGTAATTCATCTTTAGGTACTTCAATATTTGTGTTTGTGTAACTATGTGGACCATGAACATCAACATCATTTTGAGGTCTATTCGACTAAATAATTCAGAATTCAACAATTTAATTTATTGTTATTGATGCTTATGATCTTCATTGGGATAGTCAATTTAGTAAATAGTTTAATATTTTCATAAAAATTATCCAAAACTTGTAATTTAATAATTTTAATACTTATAGATAGATACATACTGTTTCATCAAGTTTACTCTTCTTCGAGAAAAAAGAAATAATTGTTCCGTCACGTTTGGCCATTTGAAATAAAAACAAAAATAAGTACCTAATGTAATATTATATAATATAAAACAAATACTGGCAGGTCGCAGGTACCTCACGTTCTCAGATTGAAAATTGCAAACTAAATAGGTATACTAATTACTAAATAATAGTAGATATGTGATAGGTTTTTGGAGGTACTTTTGCTTCATAGATAAGCATCGATATAGATAAGAATATCTGTAATATGCAGGCTATAGCCATGATAATTATGACGAATGTAAAAATATAATTTTAATAAAGTTCTAAGACAACATTTTTAATCGAGATCAATGATCATGTTATCAAGTGCTGCAGTACCTATTATAATATATAATATTATTATAGATACTCTTATAACTTATAATTAAAGCAGTAAATTAAAGACCAATTTTTTTTCATATTTGTAAAAATCGTTAATATTATACTAGGCCTCGGAGAAATTTCGGGGGGGGGGGTACGACCCCTTAACCCCCCCCCCTGTGTGCGCCACTGGCCGAGGGAGTTATGTCTCCACGCCCCCTAATACCCCTTTTAAATCATATGAAAAATATTTATAAATAATCAACTAAAAAAAACAAGTTACCTTATACAGTGGTGTATATAGGGGGGGAGCCCCCTAGGCCAGAGCCCATAGCAAATTGCAAGTTCAATTAAAGCAATTCACGTATATATCTACACTGTTTACAGTTTTTCACCATGATTAATTTAGCCGGTTGATTAAAATCGTTTTTGTGGAATCAACAAGGAAATGTTAGTTTGTCAGAACTTGCTTTGATGTTAAATTCACAGTAAGATAACATTAATATATATGTATACTAGCTGATCCCGTGCACTTCGTTGCCCCGTTAAATGTATCAATTCTATATGTCTCAAAGTTTGTTCAATTCGTTATTTAATATTCGGTGTATGCGGTGTTCAAAATTAATCTTAACTTTTCCGTTGCCCCGAATAAAAATTCTGATTCGCAGCAGTAATCTACCTGCGATAGATCGAGTACCCTGTGCTGTTTGTACGTAAGTGTATGATTTAACTCTAAAGTATCAAAGTTATACCAAGTTTATCGTTTTTACTTCATTTCGCCTAAGGTGGATTATTATAATCATTTTATACAAAATCCTATCCTAACCTAACCGTACTAAAACCCGATGAAAAAAAAACAAATTCAACCCTTAGTAAATTAACCTATCTTCTTCCCAGACGTCTAATCTACCCACAAACATTAATTTATACATATATATATATATATATATAACTATATAAATACACGGACTATAACTATACAGACTCTGGAACTACTTATTGGATCTTTTTGTATTTATTATATATATATATGATATATGTATACCTATTGACAAAAAATAATGATACAAATCAAAAACATGCCCGATTAACCAATAGCAACAGATATAATATAATACACTGGTGGATTTTCCTAACATTTTTTTTTCATATAAACCTTATCCATGAAATACTCTTTCATTTAAAAAAAATAAAGAAGATCTGATAAGAAGCTCCAGAGATAAGTAGTACAGAGATTTTCATTTCACATTTTTATAGTTAGATATTATATTACAATTTATATTTAAAAAGTAAAGCAAATAGTTTTTTTTTTTTATTATTGCAATAGCTTAAAAAACCAAGGCAACCATTTATAAACAAAAATTTCCATCGGAAATCTCAAAATTCCCGTTTGAGCACCTCCCGGGGTTGGTCCTCTCCCTTTTTAAATTAGCCTATCTTTTAAGTTGGACCAAATTACACGCGGTGTAAAAATTTTCATCAAAATCGGTTAAGTGGTTTAGGAGTCCATTGAGGACAAACATTGTGACACGAGATTTATATATATTAAGATATATTATATATATATATATTAAATTGTCAATATTTTTTTAAAAAGGATTAAAAAATTAGTTTTACATAATTATTATAAAATTTAACTGTGCAATTTTCATTTGTATTGTATGTATCATACTTATAACTACCCAGCTTCCTAAAATAGTGAAATATGTATAGTTATGGGCGTTATAGCTATGTTAGTCGTGCTATGCTTGACTAGTAATAAATTGGCTCATAGTGAAAATAATTTGTATATACGCGACTGACCTTATATAAGGCATAAGTAATTACTGCTGTATATTAATATAGTTATAAATAATAATATAAACCCAAAAGAATAATAAAAGTAACCTAATTAATAGCTTACTAATACTTAGTTAATTATATTAACTAATTTATATGTCCGCGGTTATGAAATAATCTATTAGACAATTAATTATGATGGTATCTCGCGCATTTTGATAAAAATGCAGGATTATTAATTGCATTCCCCTTAAAAATATTAGTCGGGGTACGCTAAAATTTCTGAAAAATTAGTTGATGTACTCCATCCTCCTGCGTACCCCCCCCCAAGTCGAGCACTGATTGTCTATATATATTATATACGTATAAAAATGAATGAATGTCTGTCTGTGTTTCTGAGGGCTTATATTACAATGGCAAACATTTATATATATTATTTTGAGCATAGGCGGCAACTAGGGGGGCATGAGGGTGCAGTTGCACCCACGACAATTTTTCTGGGGGGGCAAAAGTATCATTTTGCACCCACACACAGACAATCACAACAGTAAAAAATATTTTAATTATTTTATTGTTAACAATTATACTGATATAATATAATTTTGATATTAAAAAATAACCATGGATCATTTCAATATTTTATATCTGATTACTCAATTAATTAGTTAATTAAATAATTAATTAATTATACGGACTAAAATCTTAGTCCGTGATTAAATGTTTAAATACTAATAATAATAATTAAATAATGCAGTAAGCTAATTAAGCTATAAGAAGTTTTGAAGAATTGAGAACAGATGACAATTTTCAGAAAGTATGGGAAAAGGCTACTATTGTTTCAAAAAATAATGGTTTTAGTGAGCCTAACCTACCACGCATTAAATCAGTACCATTAAAATTAGGTGGTGGCAAAAAACAAACTATACAGACTGTTCAAGATCATTTTCGTATAAATGTATTTTTTGGAATTATAGATACAGTAATGATGTGTATAAAGAGTAAATTTAAAGAAAATTATTTAAGTTTGTTGAATTCTATGAATAATGTCTTATTTAATAAAAACCCTACTAATCAGTCAATAGGGGAAGTTTGTAATGCATACAAAATAGAATCAAATGATTTATCAAGTGAGATAAAAATAGTAAATAGATTATTTATAAATCATGAATGTGATACAATTATAAAAAAGATAAATTATATTAGATCTAAAGATATTCAGACGGGATTCCCAAATTATACAAATATATTAAAGATTTTTTTAACTATTCCTACAAATACTGCATCTAATGAACGCAGTTTCTCAGCTCTACGAAAATTAAAAACATACTTAAGAGTCACAATGAGTCAAGAGCGATTGAGCAGTTTAGCAATCTTATATATACAAATAGAATACCCTATAGATTTTGATAATATAATTGACAAGTTTGATGCTGAGGCTTCAAATAAGAGGTCGTCGTTTGACACTGAAGTAGTGAAGTTGACAAATACCTAGTAATTATGTTACACACAGTTAATTTTTTTTTTTCATTATTATTTATGTCAAAATAAAAAGTTGATTTTTTAATAATATTTTTACATATTCATGTACATATTTGAAATACAGAGACCCAATTGGAATAGTTATTAATAAAGACATTTTTTTAACTACATTTGTTGTAGCAATAGTTATATATCAGGGGGTACTGGGGGGCAACTTCCCTATGGATTTGTGAATGCTATTACCATAAACGTTTGCACCCACATAAGTGTCTACCAAATGCCGCCTATGATTTTGAGATTTAAGATGGAATGTTTTCTATAAAATTTGGTTGCCATGGTAATATTATAGAGTTGGCATTTTTAACGGAAAACGAAGTGCACGGGATCAGCTATTTATATTATAAATAGATAGATTAGACCTCTGGGCAGAAGATAGGCTAATTTAAAAGGGAGAGTACCAACCCCGGGAGGTGCTCAAACAGGGATTTTGAGATTTCCAATGGAAATTTTTGTTTATAAATGGTTGCCATAATGACATGGGTTTTGAAGCTATTACAATCAAGGTGGATGTTACACCTTGATTACAATAATAATTATTGGTTGCCGGGCAAAGAAGTACACGAGATCAGCTATTACCTAATAAACAAAAATGGAGAATTATGAATGTGTATTATATCTCTAGTCTTGATGGGGTAAAGTAAACTGTCCCCATGGTGCAATTATTCTTTTTTTAACAGCCCATATTTTGCATTGCTTGAAAAGAGTACTCTTTATTATTTCCTAGTTAATAGTTTATAAATATTGATATTTCTTCTATAATATTCAGATATCAAGTAGGTAGGTAGACAGTGGCGTCATTTGGGGGAATGCAACTGAGGCATTTACCCCAATCTAGTATTTACATCAACCTTAAGTCGGCACATTTACCACCACAACCTCCCCCCCCGTTTGCCACTATGGCATTATGCTATGAGAATCTGAATGAAAAATTGCACTAGTCTCATAAAAACTGAAATGACGTTACTGCAGGTAGATATAAAAAAAATAAAAGGTTGGGCATTAACGAGTTAAAGTTAAAGTTCAAGTTAAGTTACTTTTAACTAAGTTGAATAACAAGTTACATTTTTGTCCATATTATTCAGTGACTTATGAGTTAATTCATTTTATTGTCACATTAAGTTAATTTTATTCCTGTACCGCAGATTAAATATATATTCAATTTTTTAAAAATAAATTTTATAGAAAAAAATTATAATAATAAGAAATATTAAATAATATGTATATTAATTAATAAATAATAATTTATTTTAATAGATAGGTAATATATTGAATATTTACAGAATATTTGCCTATATTATAAACAGAAATGTTATTGGCTCTATAACATTATTATATCGAGGTAACAACCAGATCATTAATAAAATAAAAATATAACTATTTAATTTCAGTATCCCAGACGTTTGTACACTCGTTATTCATTACCTAATCATTATTAATATTATTAATACTTATTACTTATTATAATATTTTTATTCATTCATGGAATTACACTATTACAGAAATAACTTGGGCCCATTGGTGCAAATAAAACAAACCGGTAGTGTAGTAGTGTAGTTCATCATATTTGCTATTAATACTATTCACATTTAGGAACAAGCTATTTAACAACACTGAGGGACGAGGGTAAATAATTATTTTCAAATAAACCACTCAATGTCTGATAAGCAGAAAAGAGAATTTGAAATTCTCTTGCTAAGACTGTAGGTATGTACATAAATAGATTTTAATAGTGGACATAAACTGTTAAAATGTACTATTATGTGTAATCTGTGTAACGTGTGGTCTAAAATTATTTTTCACATTCTTGTTTTTATAATGCTTTCTGTGGAGCTGTGAGCTATGTAACTAATTAATTATATTATAATAATGAATTTTAATATTATAATATTTAAAATAGTTGTGGACCATTATGTAAACAAATACATAAAAATAATATAATTATTTTGTAAGATTTTATCATTGATTAAAGTATATTATATAATTATTTACAGTAAATAATTTTAATGCATACATTTATTTAAAAATTATAAGACATTCATTGAATTACTATGCTCTTTGTTAGGTAGGTAAGTAAAAGTAAAAGTAGAAGTAAAAGATAGGTAATAGGTATATTATTAATTGTGTATGAAAAAAGTAACTGAATTTTAACTAAGTTAAGTTACTTTTATTTTCTAATTAATTTTTAACTCTAACAAGTAAAAATAATAAATTTAACTTTTGACTTTAACTTGCCTAGGCTTATAAAAATACAATAAAAGTAGAATTTGATTTTAAAAATAAAATATAAACTACAAACCACTTTTTACATTGTTTCTATGTTGTAATAAACTTTAAAAAGCAAAAATGTAATTACCATAACACAATACATTTTGATGAATGTTGGGATAAAGCTTTTTATTCATATTTAATTATTTTTTTTTAAGATAAGATGTATAATCTTATATGAAAAACATTTTTAACTTTTTCATTTTCTTAAAAATGTTTGCTTCTAATATTTTATTACAACTTAAATTAGTCCATTAGATAAACAATTGATTAAGTGTAATTTAATTTTAATTTATTTCCAAACTGTGATAAAAAAAAAAAAACTAATGTTTTGAATCACACATTTGCTATCCTGATATTTTTAATAATAACCAAGTTAGAACTTTTTCAACACAAGCTAATAAATTACAAACAGACAAAATAAAAATATATATACAAATTACACATGAATACAATTTGTTAACGATGGTCGATGGAGAAATTTGAATGTGAAATGTCAATGAATGTCAATTTGAAATTGTATATATCCCACCAAGTCTAGAATAACTAATTTTATATTCAAACTATTTCACTTTTGTTTTTTTATACCCTTCACTTATTTAGTGTTGATATATAAAAACGACATGTATGAATAAAAAAAAATATATTTATAAAATTAGTCAAGAAATAAATGTAATTATTCAAGCTTCAAGTAGAAATTATTTTATTGTTATTCATTTTACGGAAATTATATAATATGTAACAAACCCTACTAAATTAACATACAATCATTTAAGAATAATGTATTTAATATATTGGTAGACATTGTCAAATTACTTCCTACAATGATTTGCCACTGTACAGCTTTGCAGATATTTTATTTTGTCTTTTTTTACTTTCAAGTTAATCTTATTGTAATTTTAAACTATAACAATTCAAACCCGTTATCACTTATATTATATTTTCTTAGTTTAAAAATATAAATGTTGTATGGAATAACATACCTAATACAATAAAATACTTATCATATATTAGTTGACACATGAATTTAAAGGTAAAATATAAAAAATACTTTTTTTAAAAAAAGCATACAAATAACATGATGTATTGTAGAAAAAACGTATATTGGTGTTCCAATTATATTGAATCATACACTATAAATTAGTATAAATAGAACTTCTATTCCTGTTAATATTTAACTTAAACATAAAGTGGATTTGCTGGTATGTAAAAATAATATTAATTAAAAAATATAAACAATATAACAATAATATATTATAATGCGCCCATGTAAAACATAATACTCATATAAAGAAAAGAATAAAAAAATGTATATTTCTTATAAAGCATATTTATTTATTATATAAAGCATATTTTAAATTGGAAGTAGGTATTTTATAGAATAGATATTTAACTTATTTGTTCTAAACTATAAATTTATGAACAGATGTAATCATGTAATTTTTATTAGGCGTGTCAATTTTGAGTCAATATTTAATTTTACGAGCGCATTGTTTATTGTTTTTATAAGTAATAAATATGGGTTTCGTTTAAAAAAAAATGTATTGCTTATATTTTATATTCAGTTAAATTGAGATAATAGTTTATCCAGCTCTTGGCCCAAGCTTATCCAAAATAGATATTCCTCTGTCCTGGTACTCCTCGCGTGATAACCAAAACGATTCTCTATCCTTGGTTACTTCACCTAATACAGCTCCACCAATAAACACCATGTCTTTACGCAACGGCGGATCTTCAATACGGATTTTAAGTTTCTAAAAATGAATATCATAAATAAATGTTTAAAAATGAACTAAGAAAGTGTAATTTGTAAATGTATTACTGATAAGGTAGTTGTATCATTTTTCAACACTCGTTCCACATAAAGTTGTTTAATTTCACGTTCCAGTCTTGACGGTAGTCCAGGATACATTGTTGAACCACCAGAGAGCACAATATGTTTGTATAATTCAGTTCTCATATCAATATCAGCAGTTTGGATTGTGTTAAACACTAGTTCTGCAATACCTGGTGGATCACACGATAATTTGTAATTGGAAAATACACAAAAAACATTTAAAATTAAATTTAAAAATGATCCTATGAAATAACGAATTAAGTAATTTTATAATATTTATTACAATAAATTATTGTCAATTAATATTTTTTGATCTTTTTATACGATAACTATTATACTATCCCAATATGATGAAATTATTCAGAATGAGTTTTCTATCACTAACAAATATAATAGTATTATTATCCTACAGAAAATGTAATACTTTCAATTTAAAAGCAAATATTTTCTCAGCTAAAAATCTATATTTTCTAAAGCCTGTCCAGTGCGAGAGCGCCACTCGTTCGCTCATCCAAATAACCACTCTCCCCCATCTGGAGGTAAGATTCTACCACCTAGAGGTACCCTTGTGTGAATACCTTTATGTGCCACTGGTGACGGTGATGGTATAGTGGTAGGAATAAGCAGAAATAGACGAGCTTTGGTTGAGCTCTCTCGCTGGACAAAGTATATTAGTTGGGGTGAACTCTTTAGTTTTCACAAACATGACATATAATTTAAATATTATAGAAATAATTAAATAACCAAAAACTTTATGTCTTGTACAGAAAAAAAAATTCATTTTTATGAAACCCGCCACATTTAGGTATGTAGCAATGAACAAAACAGATAAAGCAGCAAGTCAACACAATACAATTAACTGCCATCTTTATGCTATGAACCCACAATTTTAAGCTAAGCAACAATTTGAGGGATGTTTTTGAATAGTATTAACTTGAGTATATAAAATATAGTGAACAAAATATAGTAATCTCCTCATTGATTAATAAAATATGGCAAACAATTATAATCAGATAAATAACCAATAAATAATCAACACTACCGTCTACTAGACACACCTCACTTCATGTATCATCAAAACCAACATTGCATATTATTATAATGTCTGAAATATGCAATTATTATACAACATATTTCCTTATGTACAGTAAAAAAATAATATTAATTTTAGAGCATCTTAAGAAAATTAATTAGTACAATTTGTAACAAATTAAAGCTTAACCCAATCGCAAAAAAAAATAAAAATTATTATAGAACTATCAGTTTTAAAAGGGTACACTAGTATGCAAACCTTGGCCTTCAACATTTATCAAATGTGGCTGGAATAATACTTCAGGCGCTTCAAACCTTTCACCACCAACTTTGATAACACGACCATCTGGTAACTAAAAAATGTAATAGTTATATTTTATTAATAGTTTATAGTTAGTACCTAAATGTTTGGAAGATAATAAAATGTATTATGGAAATCATGTTGTTTTCATAAAATGTGAATAGATAAATCATAGTAGTTAACAATATAAAACACTATTTGACACATTAGATAGGTCAAAGCCACTTAATATAAATCATAGTTCACATGTGAAATACTTTAATTATATGGACACACTATTTGATACATTGGATAGGTTGAAACCAGCTAATACTTCTAAGCAACTTTTAATAAATAATTCATATATATATATATATAGTATACTACCTATTATAATAATAGATTATATTTATGATACATGGTGTTGTTTTGGCAAAACATTGGGATGTTGATTGTTATATTATTAACTAATTTAAAAAATACAACTTACTGTGTATGACTGTACAAGAACAGTAGTTTCCAAAGCTAATTTTTGTTCAGTCTCAATGTTGTATGCAACATAACATAACTTTTCTTTCATCATTCTTACAGTTTCAAAATCGGCAGAATGATTGAAAGCATATCCTCTTAATAGTAACAACTAAAATAAAAAAAATTAAGTTACATTAGTCTGATAAAATATGAAAGTTATTGATAAATAATTACCTTTATTAAATAACGAGTGACATCACGACCTGCGATATCTAGTCTTCGAGTTAAATGTGGTAAAACATACTCTTCATATACAGGGCAAATATGAGTAACACCGTCACCAGAATCAACAACTACTCCACTAAGCAAACCTTGAGCATATAATGTTAGAATAGCTTGAACAGCTACATAAACAGCATTAAATTCATACTTTTCAAACATCACCTATTTTACAATACATTTTTCACATATTATATTTTAATAAACAGACTCCTTTTATTACAAATTATTCTTTATAGGTACTTACTTCTATCATTTTTTCTCTATTTTTTATTGGATTCATTGGAGGTTCTGTTAACATAATTTTACATTCCTTTGGATCAATATTCATCTTTTTTGGTCCAAAAGTATAATCCCAAACATGGCACATATCGTCCCAATTCCTACAAATAATTTGAATAAGCATTAAGTCAATAATTATTAATTACTGAACAATTATTAGTTGAACATAAAATTTAAAAATACAAACCTCACTATTCCATTTTCCATTGGATATGTGACATCTAACATAGATCGTAACTGACTAGCTTCATCACCAATCATCAAATCCTAAAAAATAACAACATTAAAACCAAAAGTAATTTAATTAATGTATAGAGTAATAACTCATCAGTTTGTACACATAATTATCTATAAATATTTTTTTTGATTCATGGACGTTCTTACTCATTTGTCCCCCCACCTCTCCCCGGGAAATCGTGTGCAAAATAAAATAAAATAAATTCTATATAAAATTTGAACCTCCTCTCCCCTGAAGAAATGTATGTAAGCGCCCATGTACATGTTACGGTTGTATGGGTATGTCCAAAATACAGTTAGTGTACATATTAACCAGATAATGTAAACCTTATTCATATGAAGAGTGTAATGTATACATTATGCACCTTAAATAATATTTATATTAAATATTATTATGTATAATGCATTATTATTATTATTATTATTATTATTATCCAATCAATTTATACATTATAGTGTGTTTCGAATCAAATACGACTCAGTCATAGCGATCCGGGAGGCTGTTTTTTGTCAGGGTTACTCATTAATAGAACGTGAATAAAGTGAGAAATTTAAAACGATTATATTTTTATTTTCCAACCTAATTTACAAACCGTTGATTCGAGTAGAAACCGTTACCCGGCGCGCGCTATAATCGGGTCACCATTGATTTGAAATCCACTATAGCAAGTGTGCTGTAGATAATTCTTAATCTAATAATGGCAGTACAACATGACCAAGGTGTATTGATAAGGTGTCGTCACTTGTTTGAAAATTTTACTACAGATAGTCTCCACCACCGGAAGCGCTATATGTCCTCAAGAGGCCGATAAACGAACACTTTTGTAGACCAAAGTCACAGAAAATTGAAAATATATTATGATTTAAGGAATAAAATTCAAAATTTTGCATTGCATAATGACTTCTATGCTCTAAATTATTTGGATGCATGTATTTAAATACTTTGTTTTTATCAAATACAATTATTAATATTATTAAATATTGTCGTTTTTAAATTTCCTATTACAAAAAAAATATATGAAAAATGTAAGAGTTAATTCACTAAATTATCATACATAATGCATTCAAAGTGTTACAATTAACAAATAATAATTATTAATTATTAATTAATATATTAATTTTAAATACAGTTCATAATATTATGTTGATATTGAGTTTAATACTAGTATTCATATTACCTATGTGTTAAAAAAATGCAAATATTTTGAATACCTTTTTATAAGCATTTATTACTCAGTTTTACCTATCACCATCGATTTTATAATATATTCATAGTATTTATAGTATATTATAAAATCAATGCTATTACCTTTATATTATTATATATTAACAATAGAAACATATCTATAAAATGGTTCATATGTTATGGTCATCCTAGATTAGTGCTTATTTTCTTTGGACTTTCAGCTTTTATGGAAAAAGTTTAAATACTTAAATTTTAAAACTATTATTAATATTTTTCAAAAGTATATTAAAACCATAATGTACTATACATTTTAATAATTTATCTGTGTGAAATAGTACATGTAATTTTAGTATAATATCCCTAATTTATAAAAAGCAATTAATAATTTTGATTAAGGGGGCCTTGACAGTTTTACATTAAATTTAGGGAGCCTCATGACAAAAAAATTTGAGATGTACTGTACTAGATTATACTGTAAAATATCTAAATATATATAACTAGCTGTCCTGGTACAAGATCTTGTTGGTATTGTTGCATTTCAGTTTAAAAAATTCATATACATTTTTCACTGTTTATTTTTCTAACATAATTTATAGTTATTGAAGAAATATATAAACAAAATTTGACAAAGGTTGGTTGCTCAATACATAGTCAAATATTAACCAAATATATCATAATGCATGTCAAGACAAGAATGATATTCACTTCCAAAGAAAAAATGAGCAAGGTACTAAAAACAAGAAAACACCAAAAAAACTAAACAATTTTTCAAACTTAGTATGAAGTTTATAAGATAACTATTATTGAATAATATTATAATATAAATAATATACCTAATCATACAATAAAATATGCAAAATATTCTAAACATGTTTTTAGAGTTTTTTATGAGCACTAGAAAATAATACTCCATTCTACCAGACTACAATTAAAATTAGGAGCAGAATCATAATAGTTTTAATTTAATTTTAAAATTTTAAGAAGGATGCAAATATCCAAAGAAGTGACTAAATTACACATCATATTTTATAATTGATGTCTACTTGATAAAAAATATTGCAAATGATTAAAATGCAAATGTAATGTAGGTATAATAATTACAGGATCCAATGTATTATGCCAACTCAATTAAAAAAAAAAACTTATAATCATACAATGTTTTTGTAAATACTAACTTCAATTTAAAAAAAAAAAATAGCAATTTAATTCTTAAGTTTTAAGACATTTTGCATTTAACAGTATGAATACACAGGCTTCCATAGGACAGGAAGAGCGCTCTGGTGACTATAGAACTGTGGTAATATTTTCAATCAAGAGTGTAAACGTATAGGGGTCCAGAGTGACGACACCTTATCAATACACCTACAACATGACCAAAGGACCAAACAGTTCAAATGGTTCAAATATCAGAGTAAAATGCCAGTAGCAAATACCAAATATTAACAATCTAAATAAAAATGATTTATTAGATTAGTATTAAATTATTAGCTGATCTTGGATGGAGTTGCCGTGACAAATTAAATAATGTCAGTAGATTTACTTTGTCTTAAATTCCCTTAATTGTAAACTAAAAATATCCTTATCAGTAATTTGAGTAGTTTTGAACAAATATAAAAAACAGGTCTAAAGTTATATCCTATATTTTATTTTCTGGAACCAATGGCAACCCTATACAAAAAATAATGTATTTATTTTTTGTGAGCCAACAAATTCATGTTCCATTAACCCAGACAAATGTAAACATCATAAAAAAACCTAAAATACAAACGCAGGTAATTTTTTAACTTTAAGTTTGATAATAAAAGGTCAACAATTTACTCAATCATTCAAACTGACAACATAAGATTGGTTCACTTGACCGAAAATTTGCTATGTGATCCATGGTTCAGAAAGAGAACAAACAGTATACAGAATTATTATCTTCTTAAATCTCTAAATTAAATTTAAGATAATCTTCTCAATATACAAAATAAAATTTGATCCAATCATAACTCATAATTAGAACCGAGAATTACATGCATTCAAAAATTGACAAATATGTATATAAATGTGGTTGAATATGCAATTATATGCATTAAGTAAATAATTACCTATACTTAATAAAAATAATTTTAAAAAAAAACACACAATTTTTAGACCAATAATAGTACTAAATTGCTTAACTTTTTATCAGAACAAAGAATGCTCAAATAATTAAAATTGAAGCAGATATTTAAAACATTAAAATATAAAAATGCAATATTCTATAATTTCTAAAATTATATACGAAATAATAATAAAAAAAAATCCACTGTGAATATTTTAAATAATTTAAAATAGCAAGTCCAAAACTCTCATGTCCATATTCAATGTATGTGTTACATAAGTTTAATATGTATCAGAAAACTAAAAAAAAACATTTAAAATAACAAAAACTAAAATCATAAGTTATGCAAAAATATTTGAAATAACAACAATTTTAGATTTAAGACATGTCAATGTAAAATTTAAATAGTTTTAATGGTTTTCATAACAATGAACCACATCAAAGTGGTTTTTTCGGTTATACAGTATGGCATACATAACAATATTTCAACAAAATTCCTTTGAGAACCAATGTCAACAATTTTGTTTTCCAGATAAATTATTGATTCATCATAAATTAAATTTGTTAATTTATTAAAAACTCATTAAATATTAATTTATGATCTAATATCCAACAATCATCCAAATATACAAAATAAAATTTGGTAAGTATTTGAATTTGGTGTGATATGAACTTACAAATTCCCATAGACATGCAAGCACATGCATACACTATGTACAAACATATAAATGCATATCATTATAGGTTCTAGTCATAAATCCTATTATAGATTGATAATTCATCATAAAATGTACTTAGTTAGGTTGTTGGAATTAATCTTCTCAGCACATTTAACAAAAGTAAAATTTGAACCTATTGATGATTTGATGTAACTAAATACTACTTTATAGGAACGTTAACATTTTTCTAGTTTAAATTTTATGAAATTTATAAATAATTAGAGATAAATAATTTTGTTTTTTATATAGAATTATATACCTATAATACTTTGGGTTCTTTTCTGTTATCTTGATTACTGTCTCAATCTCAATTAACGCCAATGTCGAAACTAACAGGTCAATAATATACCATATTATGCATAAGAATTTCTAACTATTATTCTACATTCTGAATATTATATAAAAAATTAGTTAATTTATTGAATATTTTTTATACATTTTATTCTATAATTGAATGAATTAAAATATGAATATCAACCTTTTTCATAGAATATAATAAGAACACAATTGACATTTGCTGACATTACCTAAATAACCTAACTAAAGATTGTAGTACATAAAACTTCAAAAATACTACAAAAAAAAAAAATAATAATAACTTACTTTAACTTCGATATCACCAATTTTGTTGTGTGCACGAATGATTGGTCGACCAACCATTGATGGAAATATATGAGCAGGGAAATTAGTGCCAGCATAGCCGCATTTCACAAACTAAAACAGAGAAATGATTATTAACATTTAACAGTAATATAAATGTAGACATATATTGTAATACATAAACAGTCAATAAAAGATACTCTAGATAGTAAAAAAAAAAACTGAATAGTACCTAGGTTACTAAAGTTTTAACTAATCTACTTATATAGTTACATCCGAGATCCGAAACACCAACTAATATGGATGTAATAATCAACAGAGTTAGTTTGATGATTCAATTACAGCAGCTGTACTGCACTACAGTGTATGGAATACCTAGTCAAAACTGGCAGTGCAAGTACCAACCAGACTGTATTATAGGTATGAGCGCATATGGCTGCCGTTGGGTCAATACAGTCAAAAGTAACCGTAGATATGGTGGTACACACGATTAAGGATCACTATCTATGTGGGATAGTAGCACTCACCCCTGTCCCGTTGTCGCAGACAATGACTTTCCGGCCGCGACTGTCCATTGCGACGGTGAGAGCGTTATAGTCCTTTGAAAAGAGAACGAAAACCGCCGACGAGATGTATTCCGTCCAATGCACACTCCTTAGCGTTTATTTTACAAAAAACAACGACGGGATTTCATTCGTGAAGTTATCAAAGTCCGGCCGAACTGGACTGTCTTCTTCTGATCGCAGTGGTGCGTGCGTGCGCGCTCGTGTCCGGTCTGGAGATGACGCCGACCAGCTAGGCAATCGGCCGTAACTGCAGCTACACCGGTGATTTGATTTGACACCTGCACGAACGACGCGATTAAATTGTTCCGATGACGGCGCCAAAAGATAAATCGAACAACAATAGTCAATATTATTTATCGAACATTTTCGTCCGATGTATGGACGTGAGGTGTGGCGGGCGTTCCGACAAGGCGACGAAATTGATAACAGTAATAAGAGCGTATGACACATACACGCTGCCGCCGCCGAGTCATTGGTCCGCACGGACGATATATGATAACAGCAACAGCCGCGCCGCCGGCTGTAGACATAGATAATAAAGAAAAGAAATTCGTAATTATCTACCATAAATCATTGTAGTTTGGCCGACTCATTGAATAATGATATAATGGGCAGTTGGCCATGGGGCTGTAATTAAGGTGGATTTATATCCACCCAAGAATACTAGATCATAATATCCATCTTGGCTGTAATATTAATAATTATTATAAAATATGTATACCACCGGCATAATAATGCCGTTTCGTCGGTCGTGCCCAGTGGCCGATATGATGTTGGCAACGACTGGGTCGACGACGGTTGTTCTTAGAATTATTTACAACCGTGCTGTCGGCTGTATAGACTACACAACATGCAGCCCAGAGTATTTGGCGCAATCGATATTTAAGGGATAGTCGACTGTGCACTTGACGGTATTAAATAATTTAATAGTACTAATAACCTTTAAGTATCGTATGGAGCAGAAATAAATTCGCAATCATTCATTACGATGGATTATAAAACAATATTGAATATTAAATGTTTCCGTTGGCCAGTTCAGTTTCGGGACGATTAATTATATTATTATTTTTGTTCAATCCTAAATCCAGTCGACCGATGGACGATATACAACACGTACGAGTAGGCTACACGATTACACAAACGATTTTGTGAACCCTAAAATGATTTCCCTTAATACGCGAAAAACACATAACACACATGAGCATATTTTATTCTGAGAGTTCAGTCCCAGATTTGGAATTATATTTATAATATATATTTGGGCAAATTGACAAAAATACGCACTAATTAGGTCCGGTTCAACCACTAGTTGATATTGGATTTTCCTATTGTTGTTTTATTAAAGTCAATTATTACTAACAATATGAAAATAAGTATAGCATACTCATTGGCGTAAATAGTGTTTGAAATTTGGGGGGGCTGAAGCTCAGGTATATACTTGAAACTCTTATGATGCTTTTAAATTATAATAGTGAAATCATTAGTTTTTGGGGGGGCTATAGAAACTTCAAGGGGGCTAAAGCCCCCTAGCCCCCCTCCTATTTGCGCCTATGCTGCATACTAGCGTAGTCGAGTAGGATACTAGGATGAGATGACTATTTTCATACAGCAAATATAAGTCAGTGACATAGTCGATCGTCAGTACTCAACACTATACTCGGTAGTAATATTTTATCGATATTTCTCTATGTATCTATGATATCTTTCGTTTAGGTTAGTCCATTAGTATAGTTTTTTGATCTATTTGTGGAAATGAGATACACACGTTTTGGCGTCATATGATGTGGTGCCACAAAGGTCAGGGCGTAATGTTAAATTGATATTTACAATTAAAAAAATACTGATAATATTAAAAATTAAACGATAATATTTAATTGGTAATGCCGTAATGACCATGACATAGGGTGTAATGCTTAGATTTATCGCTAAGATAAATATAAATAGCTTGAAAAAATATTTCCACGCAATCAATTTATAATTAATGACAAAAATATATTTTATTTTTATAGTTCAGAAATATAAATAAATTTAATTATTTGGTTTTGCATTATATTGTGTTTTATTCTATATATTTTGCTAAACATTATGTTTTGTTTTTATATTTTTCATTTTAATTAGATTATATATTTATAAACTGCAATCGTTTTTTGCCATGCATAACGTTTATAAGCCCTGGGCTCAACAGTAATATGTTGTTTTTTAAATTATTTTTATTTACAATCTATAATACATGTTATGGACTCTTGGTTTCTCAAAACTTACTAGAAATAGGTACCTGTGTTGGTTATGTTTATATCACAATAAACATGCCAATGTTTTGCAAAAACAACAACATGTAACATAAATATATAACAATTTGAATCTATTATTATTTATTATAATAGGTAGTAGGTATACAGTATACTATAAATATTAAAATATATGTCTATATATAATATTAATTATTTATTAAAAGTCACTTAGAAGTATTAGCTAGTTTCGACCTAGCCAATGTATCAAATAGTGTGCTCATATAATAAATTAAAGTATTTCACATGGTGAACTATGATTTATATTAAGTGGATTTGGCCTATCTAATATTCTAATGTGTCAAATAGTGTTTTATATTGTGAAATACTTCTTTTTATATATTTACATTTTATGAATACAACATTATTTCCATGATAACAACAACAAAGGTTTTATCAAAATCATATAGGACCTCTGGTCTAGTGGTCTATGAAAATAGGAACTGGAACACGTACGAACTGTACGAGTATAGGTACAGCATTTTCAGATGTACCTACCGGTAGTACCGTAGTCGTTGAGTCTCGAAAACCTTCACGCCATACGGCTTTGTACATAGGTACTGTTACATTTTACATTTAACATTTAACATTTTATTTAATGAACAACTGTTTTATTTCAACTGGTACAAATGTTCTAAAATTAATTAAATCGCTACAGTCATATAGGTATATTTGACCGTACTAAATACTGCGGGATAAATCATTGGTTAATAAGTAATATGCGAAAAATATTTGTTTCTTAAATGAAGTGATAAACATAAATACAATAATAGACAACAATTAAGTTTTTTATGATTGACATTGTTTTTCATATTAAAGTAATTATCATTTATTTGCCAACGTAGTTCATAAACCAAATAAATTATTGAAATTATTAATTCATAATATTGTGGTAATATTATCTGACACTGGTGCTTATATTTTATAGTAGGTATATATGTCATATACTCACATCCATTTGACATTCCGATCCGTTTAGTGAAATTGATAGATAGAGATTTTATTCATTTCACAAAATCGAACTTAATTTGTTAAATGTTATTATTAAGCATAAAAACATTAAACAGCAACGTGAAAAGTGATCTATATTATGTAGTTACATGATGTGTACAAAATTAAGTGATGCAATTTTTTATCCATTTCTTGAAACGAATCAGAATATTTAATGAAAGCTACATATTTACATACTTTAACTATGTAATATATTGTTTTATACTATATAGCTATTGTCACTAATTTCAGAGGCATATTATGTAGTATGTAATCCAAAATGGACAGATACTGAGATGGGTAGATGGGTGGATTATTGTAAACAAATTAACTTAATTGTATTTAGGTTGAATACTTGAATAGCTGGTAGTTTTGTCGTTTGGAAGCCTATAAATTGCACCACTGCACCACAGTTAATCTAAAACGTAATTAGAAACTTGTTGTCCTAAACTCCTATAGTGTATTTTAATCCTACAGGCTACAGTTTTAGTTGTTCAGTATTCTAACATGATATATTATAGATCAATATAATTAGGTACCTATTATTAAACTGTTATGAAAAATTGTTTTTATACGCGTTTTAATGGTTTTGTATACGTAACAGGGTAGAAGCTGGGTACCTCACTATTATCATAACCGTTAAGAAAATCAAGCCACTATGACCAAGATTAGTAAGCCCCCTTTAGAAAATGTATTCATTTGAAATTGTTGCCCTTAATGGTTATGATGGTGCACTGACTCACTGACTCACTTGAAAGGTTTACCATATTTAATCGAATTTGAGTTTCGAAAAAATAAAATTGTATTGATGTATAATATATATTTTCAACTTTATTTGAGAGGAGTCTATAATTGTTTTACATTTTAGTGTTTATACCTGTATTAAGTATTATGATGACTGTACATTTCTACAATAGACTGTACGTAAGTAGGTGCATTAACCTATTTATTTTGTACTTGTAGCTAATAGGTAACTACCTACTTATTGTCTTTTGTGTAACTATTATCTACAATGCAGATTCTAAATAATATCTCAGCATATATTTAACTATTTTATTACATAAAAAACTATTAAATAACCTATTCTTTTCTTTTTTGGTTCTAGCGGGGCTGTGGGAGAGAAGTCAAGAACCTACCCTTAAGACCCCCTCCCCTTGTAAATACACCAGTGGATACAATTGGAAACATGAAAAGTTGTTTGCAAATTCACTATAGGTATTCGCTATAAGTACCTAACCTAACCTATTTAGTAATAATTATGCTTTAAGTTTTTATTATGACTTATGAGTGATCATATTATATTATATGATAATAATAATTGGCTATTGGTTATACTATATTCTTTACTAATTAGAACACGGACAAAGGTACTAATCTAAGTCGTGACACGTATATTTATTTTATAATTTATCTATTATAGGTACGTTAGAGAGCGTGTACGTGTATATATACACACATTATATAGTGTGAGTGGTTTGATGATCTCGACGTTCCTAATGTCGATAGTGATGTTTTTAATTACTGCACAAAAGTGGAAAACAATAAATAAAACACTTATAAAATGCCTGTTAAGTATTAAGCATTCGTTTATGTGGTTACCTGCACTTATGATTTATATATCTATAAAGGTACGTAAATAATCACTACAGAAGATATATTATAGGCACCTTAGTAGTTAGTGCAAATTATAAATATAAGTAGTTGTAATATACGCAATTACAATTTAATTGC